TGCTAGAATATTATCTTTGTAGACCTACTTGTTTTTGAGATAAAAAAAATTTTGCAAAAGATGAACAATCCCATGTTAAATATATGAGAAAAGTAAAACGTTTTAAGCACGATTTATAATGAAAATAAAGAACGCGCTTTATTTAGGACGAAAACTGAAACTTCACGTAGCGTTGCAAGAAAAATTAACTTGGGAGACAAAGAGCACACTATTTACCGCTTTAATTTCTAATTTACTTCTGACCAAGTTCTTCCCATAACGAAATTGAAATGAAAAATACCTTCATACATTCTCCAAAGATTTTATGACATGTTTTTATGGTGTTTTAACAATTGCAGATTGATTGAATACAAAGTTTCAAAAATGTTAACAGATTTCGCCTCAATAAAAAGGGTTGCGAGTTTTTTAAACTGAAAATTTTAGAGTATGTATTAACAATTCAATTATTAATCCTAAAATCGGAATTTAAAATGGGGAATTTTTTTTTACCTCAAATTCAGAATAATAAATAAAAACATATTTTTTAAATTATATGCTGGTTTGAAAAAGAAAAAAAAAAATATTTATATGCTTTCACTGAAACACTGTAATCAAAGGTATTTAATGTAAACAAGACAAAAAGTGCAAGTTATGTTGAATTTGTATTAAAAAATAAGCTCTCTGTTTACAAAGTTAATTTGCTTTAGCAAGTATTCCTGCGATTCTTGCGATGAACATTTTTTTCAATCCAGCATTTAGGATTAAAATGATCATTTTCAGTTTCTTATCCGATTTGTCGAATTAATATATTTATTTTTAATTTTTTAATGCGGCGTTTAGGTTTAAAATTTGAACATTATTTTTAATTAAGATTTTCGGGATTACATAGTGAAGAATATATATATTTTAAATGTTTAGTTTATTATCTTGCAATGCATTATTTGCAACCCTGCTTGGTGGTGAATAGAAATTTAATTAATGTCATACAGTGACAACATGACAATATGAGCGAATCAAACTATCTTCACATTATTTTATAACAGCGCTATAATCGTCACTCTAATGGTTTTGGAAATACTGTTCCTCAGATTTTAAATGGAACTTATAGCAATCTGAACACGATTGAGCGGTACGGTATATAGTTTGATAGAATATTTTTTTACAACAGCAAAAATTATGGTGTAAAAAAAAGGGAAAAGAGACTTAAACTCGAGAATTGATTTTCGAAAGATTTATGATGAAATAAATTAACTTTCTAAAACAACCAACATTATGAATGTACTGTGCAATTACAATACCACTGTCTTAAAGTTTTCAAGAACAATAAAATTCATGCTAAAACGGTGCCCCATAAAGGGTTTGTACTAGTTCAAACTACCTGGTCAACCGACAATGGGTTTTTTGTGGTAGTTACTGAAAATATTCCCAAAATAATTTATAGATATATCCGAGAGCCTGAATTCGGGCCTGTTCCAATTACGCAATTGACCACCGCTAATCAAGATTAGCTGAAGTCGGTACAAATCTAGAACTGGACCTGACTATTAAGACCTATGGTAACTATCTTTTTACCAAGTTATACTTATGAGTAACTATATGGTATGTACTTCGTGAGCAATGAAAATATTATATTTGGACGTATCCTCCTCGTGGTTAAGTTATATCATTGCGAACTGGCGTTGACGTGTTCAGTGTGAAAATGTAAAACGACCGCGAACTGTAATAACGGCGTAGAAAACCAACAACAGTTCACAACAACTAGATTTGTCCTAAGATACACACACACACACCAGCGTTGAGGACAGTCACGCGCTGTTAAGTGTAGAGTGAGATCCACCTGAGCAACTCAAACATACGCACCACTTCGAAATGGTCTACGCAAGTAAAAATAAACTCTGTTGATTTCCAACTTGTATGGGATATTTGTATGGGTGTGGTAGCTTCTCGTGTTGGCGCTGCTATGGCAAAGATCAAGGACATTCTTGCGTCGTCAGCCTCAAGTGCGCGATGTATGTTCTTTTTACAACAAAGTGCAAACATCAAGGCATACAAATAGGCGCTTGGGTATGTGTGTGTGGCTATTAACAAACACACACACAGTTTTTATGACTGTGTTGTGCAAACAGTTTTTGCATACGCAAAAGTAAGCAGACGACAGAAGATAGTTAAAAAAGAAAATAAAATATTGCAAATGTTAAATAAATAGTTGCAGTCATGCAGAAAAACAATACAAAGAAAGGAAAGTAATAAGAAATAAAAATGCAGCTTACACGCACTCACACACGCCGATCCACCCTATGGAGTCATAAAAATACAAATACAAAACTTGAAATAGGCATACAAGTGCAATTGTATGTTTGCTATCCTAGCCCATGTAGTGATGCCCTTAGGACGCATTTACAAGTGCGGCACTTTGGCACGTACGCAGTGGCTTTTCAAATGCGTGTATGATCTTTGTAAATTCCATTATATTCTTACGCTAGCATGCAGTTACTATTTTCACCAGGAGCTTAGTTCTTGTATTGTCAAGGCATTGCTACAGGTATTTAAATATGCCCTTTCATAAATTGAAATCAACGCATTCTCTCTGCTGTTGTTCACGATACTTCTGTACAATTCCCTAACTGCTTTCGAAAACAAATCTCCATTCTAAATATAATACAATTTCAAAGGTTCTAAATTTACAAAACCACTAGAAGAAGTGCATATGTATTGTAGTTACATGCAACCTTCGAAAGATATTTGCATATATTTCGCAGCTGTTGGACCATTGGTTTGAGAGATAAAGCATTTTGAGTGACATAGGTTTTGGCATAAAAAAAGATACGAGTGGCTCACAGTGATTGCGGTGGTAAAGCTATTGCATAGCATTTTCATTTCAACTTATTATTTATTTATTTTTTATGCAGTATTTTTTTTCATTGATATTAATGAAGTTAACATTAATATTATTATCTTACAATACATGTTGGTTATTCAAGAATTTGTATCATTGAAACTTTAGGTTTATTTTAACTGAAATATGAAACATAAGTTTAAAACTAGATGTCCGCTAAATATCTGAAGAATATCGCGGCAATGGTGGTCCCATATTTTGTTGTGGATCATTATTCATATAAAAAATTTAATTTTTCCAAAAGAAAAGTTGTCAACCGCTCATATATTTTATCAGCGAAGTTGATGTTTAAATCGCCAGCCAAGATAAGTGGAAATTTATTACCATTGATAATCAGATTGAAATACCTAATATCAATTGTATTGTTTAAGTCAAACGAGATACTGTTTCAAAAGGTGGGGTAGCTATTTACCAAATTAATAATAATGTTACTAATATTATGATTTCGAATATTGAATAATTTATTGTTAATTAATTAAATTCCATATTTTTATTTGCCATTAAAGAAATTGTATCTTAAATATTATTACTTTTGAATCACTCTGCTCTTCAATTGATTTGTTCCGCTTAAGATATGCGAAAATGTGATATGCCCAAAAGTATGCGAATATTTTGCGCCTACTTTGTGATCGTGTTAGGTTTATTTCTGTTACGGAATTTCCTGATTCAGTCCCCGCGCTCAAAGCCCGCGATATCGCGATCCACGAGTTATAGGAACCTTTAATGAATGATAGTGAAAGTGCTTCAAATTAGAAAAGAATAGCTCTAGTAAAAAGAAATCCATTATTTTTCCAATAGATAGCTTTAGTAATCTGAATCTTGGGTTGTGTTAGTGCGATCGGAAGCAGACAGTTTCGTGATTGTTTGACGGAGTATTATTTGAGCATTTATCAAAAATAGCAATATACAGTTATATTCAAAAAGGCTAAAGCGCAAGCCAGGTAGCGGAAAATGTGAACAGTGTTTTTGGTTTTAATACTTGTACTGTAATAGCCAATCATAAGTTAATTTTGGTTTCGCTGATTCCATTTCGGTAATTTTGATATCAACCAGCTTTGGCCAATAGTAGAGGAATAGTGGTTAATCCAAACATCGGCAAGCTACACATATCGATTATGAATCACTAGAAGTTCCAGGAGTTTGGTTGACAGGTTCTAATGCATCCAGCTTATCGTCGGTATCTGGTACCAGTGATTACTTCCATTTCCTGTCTGTGGCAAATGGTTTTGCTGGTGAAAAATTTGCGTCAAGAGAAGCTTGTGAAAATCGTCTTTTCTGGTTTGTTTTTTTGCTAATAAGGACACGGTTTTTATGATGATTTTGTAAAAAATAATAAGGAAACATTAAAAAGTGATGTAAATTTCTTCTCAAACTTGAAAATCTTAACGTGTCTCTCTGTCTGAAATAAAACCTGCAGAAAAAGGGGGATTTGGTCGCAAATTGAGGATACATGAACGATCCTTGGCTTAAGCATGATGATTGCAAACTAGAACCATTTTGTTTTAAAAGAAATCCAGTAAAGATCATGAAAAATTTTAGAAAAAATGTTTTATCCACTTCTAACTGCTAAGCCAAGTGAAGTATAAATATGAGATCTTGTTATATAACGAGTTGTAGATGGTTTATAGACACTGATATCAAGGTAGAAGAGCATTCTTCCACTTAAGGGATAAGGTCAGTATAGGATTTTCGAAAATGTAGTTTTTGGAGTCTTCAATTCAAATTTCAATAGGTATAATTGTGAATTTTTTGCTGTGAGCAATCTGTACGTAAAACTTCAAAAAAGCCTTTTTTGAAATTGCATTTCGAGAGTCGTGCGATGGTAGTATTTGGAGGCTATTCCACGTATCCTTCAATAAATCATAGACCATTCACTCCCAGAATAAATTGTACATATTAGGTCTTTTTGAGGTCTCTAGATTACGCTAAGCCCCTCATACGGACTATTATTGGACAATATTGAAATATAGACCCTCTTCATATGGTATGTATAGCTGTTGTTGTTTGTTTTAAAACCACTTTTATTTTTGAGAAATTGTATTCGTACAGCTAGGATATGTTTGCATTGATAATTTTGGATCGAGAATTTCTGTAAAAACACTCTCAGTTCCCTCCTTCCACTTACCTTAAATAATTTATAAGCGGTGGTTGATAGGTTCTTTGTTATCCTGTTGCTAAAGATTTACTGGTTGTATTGTAGTGCTTTTGTGCTGCTGGTTTTCTTTTATTATTCACAGAAGTGCCAATAAACTATATTAGTTTTCTTTGTGCGTAATTTGCTTGCATATGTGACCCATATTTTTGACTTTATTGCTGTTTTTACATATTTTTTACTTTAGGGAGGTTTTTGAATTATTTCCTTTCCCGAGTTTCACTTTCAGTTCGCTGAAAACAAGTTTCACTAATTTAAGTGCATGTATTTTATGCTTATTCACAATTACAAAAACAGTGTTGTATCATTTTATTTACAGAAACTGTGTAAGCGTACACCGGCAAAGTAACTGAGACACCGTGTCGTATGAGTGACTTTTTTCGTTTTCAGCAAATGCACGAAATTACTTCATTGATGTGTAAATCTTCGACGAGCATAAGTCTGCGAAGCCGACAAAACGCAATTGTTTGAGTCGTACAGGTTTGCCAAACTAAAAAAACAACTGACGCGACTGCGATGTTGATAACGACTGAGCTAAGTTGAGGTCGATGGTGTAGACAATGGCACTGTAGCTTGTGCCTCTGCTGAGCGTAAGTTGGTTGCAAGTAGAAGACGAGTGTTACGTTACATAGTTTGCAAACTAAAGCGATGCGACTGCGGCTGCACGATAGCTAAAGCTCGGAATTACTACGCCGGAGCGAGCAGTGGCCGACACGAGTGGCGAGTCTCGCTTTGTTGTTTGTTTTTAATCCGTTTTGCTTTTTATTTTAATTTTGTTATTGTTTGATGCCTACGTTGTTTTGTATCAGTTTTTATTGCATCGGCTGATGTTGCTTTTCGGAGTGACTTAAAATTTTTCAGCAACCTCTTTTTCGTTTAATGTGTGGATCCTTTGAAAGCATTTGTAGGACCTTCGCAAGTGCTTCGAGTTTTTCGATTTTGCTTCAAATATGTAGCTATGTGTATTCACTCGTAGTTTCTACTACAACTTCCTGCGTGCTAAATCCAGTAATGCGTAATATCTCGCTTTCATTGAATGGTTACAAAAGGTCTGGCGGTTTGTGACTCTGAGTGGCATTGATTTTAGAATACCAACGAAATGTAAATCTCTTTCGGATGAATTGCATTGAAATATGGAGAGGTTTTAATCAACTTCACTGCAGAAATGTACTCTTTTGTTTTCACCCTTCCGAAATTTAAACTAACTTTTCCGAAATATAGTTAAAGATAATGTGTTCCTATTCTTTAACTTTTTTATATTAATATTTTAAATGTATATTAACTTCGCAGCAACTTTTTACGTCGCTTTCACGTTTAATTCACAAAGTTAACTGAATATTCTGTGTACACCACAACCACCACTTGCTCATTCGCTCAGGAGCCATTCGTTCGGCGCAACGCAGCGAAAGCTTTCCGTCTCTTTTGTGTGCACATTGCTTTTGTTTCCATTTCGACTGCTCACCAAGCAACCAGTGTGTTGCTGGAAATGCAATAGGCCGGCAGAGAGTTTGTTTTACAAAGTTCTGCACCCCCGTAAGAAAAAATATATAGTCCTTTATAAGTGTTTAAAGACATTGTAACGATTTTTAGTAAACCAAAATCATACACATTAGCTGTTATTAAACATATAACAAGTAATAGCCCATTCTTATTCAACATCAAATTTCAGATTTCGTTTAATTTCTCTTATCATTAAAATTGTAAAAATGTATTTTTCGCTTTGTATGCTGGTGCATTGTCGTTTAACAAAATTACTTTGCCGTGTCTTCTGGCCCATTCTGGTAATTTTTCGATCAATGCATGGTTCGAATTGATGGTTGTCCCGGATAAACCCATGATTTTCTCCGTTTGGAATTCTTAAATTAAATTCTATTTTCATCGCCAGTGACAGTTCGATGCAAAACTGATTTTCTTTCGAAGCAAAATTTCATTTATATTTTTTCGGTTTTCCTGAATTGTCATTCAATTCATGTGGTACCCATTTTCCACACTTCTGGATCTTTCCTATAGCTTTCAAATGGTCTGAAATTGTTAGTTGTGCAACATTTAACATGGCTGCCATTTGCTTTTGCCTCAATTTATCATCATCATCCAATATTGCTTGCGTTTGCAACCTTTTTTTGGCTGCCTTCCACGTTCTTCATTTTTCACATCAAAATCATTATCTCTGAACCGTGTGAAAACATCTTTTGCATGTTGTTTCTGATAGAGCATGATCGCTATATGCCTCGACAAGCATTCGATGCGACTCTGCATAACTTTTCTTCAAATGGAAACAACAAACTAATGCTTTCCGCAAATCATCACATTCCGATACATAATATGATATTTTCAACACATTGAAAAAAAATGATGTATTTTTATTCAAGAATGTAAAGTTATTGAATATGTCATGCTAACCAAACACAAAACAATTAGGACTTGTGCAAAACAAAGATAAAGTCCGGATAAGACTGAACCTATTTTAAAAAGACATTATATTTTGCGGATTTGAGAGTTGCCAACAGTGAGATATAATATATAGAAAAGCGATGGATAGAAAGAAATTTAGAGAAATTGAGTAAATGTAAATGAGTTTTACCATTTGAATAAAAATATTCAATTTTACCTATATAGCGGAATGAAATCTTTCTCGATTAAAGTTTGTAAAGATATAATAAAAATACGATTTTGAGTTATGCTATTTCAATAGTAAATGAACTTGCATATTTTCATACATCTGACCTACCCTATAAAAATTTGCAGGAGTAAAATAATGCCGACGAGTGTTTAAAGAGAACGTATATACAGAGCAGCATTCCATGGGAGAGTATTTTGTTTACTTCCACAAATAATCTCACTCGTACTGTAAATACGAATGCAACATAAACAACAGCTGTAAAGGCAAGTACGAGTATAGGTTATAGAGAGTATGCCTCCGAACAAGTATGCTTAGACCGGAAATCATTGAGGGCAGCCGTTGACATTCATGAGCATTTCCGCTTCAGTGACAACATACAGTAGGCGACGGGGATGTAAAAGCGGCGTTTAGTTCTGTGGAAATGTTGACCAGCTGAGGCACTTTCTCATGCACATGGAGTAAAACATATGTACAGTTAATACAACTATGCATCTGTGTACGTGTCCGTAAAAAACTACAAGAGCAGTCGCAGTGAAAAGTCAACGCAATAGAGCATATACTCGTATTTTGCTGAAAATGAAAGCTGTACGCTCATGCCCGCGTAAGAGTTTCGCAGAAAGAACATACCCATATGTATATACTACAACGTACTGTGTACCGGTATGTATGCAACAACAACATGCATAAATAAAATGTGGAAAATTTGCCGATGCTACAAGTGCGTTGTAATTTACGAGCGCAGGTGGAGGAAGTAAAGTGCTGCCGGGGGTGTGAATGTCGCAAAATGAAATTTTACAGTTTGGGTGGGTTGAAATGTCTTTACTTATGTTTTGCCGAAATTTCCGCTTGCTTGGCGGACAATTGAAAAATGAATGAATTTAAAACTTTTTAAACGCGACCTGAAAACGGAGCTGATTGAGGAGTTTTCGAATGCAAAACCAGTAAGGGGCTAATTTCCATTTTAGTTTCAGATGTACTTTGTAAACTTTCTATGCTGCAACTGGGGACCTTTGCTAAGTCATATAGATGTAATAAGCCTTTTGGTGACAGGTAATGAGTGGAATAAGCATTACGAACGCACTAATCATAAGCATAACAAGTACGTAGAGTATGTGCGGTTATATGGATAAAAACATTTCCGAACAGTTTACATATATTTTATAAACTTATCTACATACATACATATGTTCCGTTTCACTTTTATTCTAGCGGCTCATAAGTACATATGTATACACATGTTGGGTTTACTTGTTTGCAGCTGATCAAAGTGAATGCACAACGAGCACAGCTTTTATTCACAATAACTAGACCGCGGTTTTGTCTAAATATGCAGTGAAACACCGCTGGACTCAACTTGGTTAACGGTTAACTTAAAGCAAGTAGGATAGTGCTGTGCTCGGGCAAAATCGAAAAAGAAACTCATGTAAAATGAAAAGAGTATTAAGAGTTAAGAATAAAAAATGAGAAAGAAAAAAATGATATACATATTTCTTATTGGGGAGTTAAGGAAAGTTAATAGTCGGTTGCCCCCACCAGTTCACATCAAGCTTAGTGGAGGTTGGTTGAAAAGTTTCTGCGCTCTTAATGAAAAAATACTGTTTTTGGTAGGAAACTTCAATACACTTTTTTCAATGATCCTCCAATAATTTTATGCCATCCCTATAATGACTTTTCGGAAGCTCTGCAAAATACCCGTCTACGGCTGTTATAGCTTATTCATTCGACGAAAAACGCTTTCCACGAAGGAATTGTTTCAAGTTTCTGAAAAGGTAGTAATCGCTGGAAGCAAAATCTGGTAAACACGGTGGAGGTTCAATCAATTCGTACTTTAATTCGTTGAGCAGGTGCATTATCTTGATTTTTGTCCTGCAAACCAGGACTTTACTAAGTTTTTTCGACCAGCTTATCCAAAATGTTGCAATAATATTCAGAGTTGATTATTTTACCTTTCTGCAAATAATCAATCAACAAAATTCATTTTGCATTCCAAAAACCTGATCCCATAACCTTCTTTGCTGATCGTTGTGACTTCACCTGCTTTGGAGCTGAACAAGCAGCTTCAGTCCACTGCAAACATTCTTGTTTCAATTTAAGATCATTCAATTTAGGATCAAGACAACACAAGAAATCGGTTTTATTCTGCTTGAAACGCTCCACGACAGACGTTTGCAAAGTCAACTGGATGGTTTGTGGTCATTATATTCAGCAAATCGCGACTATATTAGTATTATGGATTGGAATCATCTGTTTTAAAAACAAAGTTGTCAGCTATATGTTTGTATGTGTTACTTTGAACACTGAGGTTTTCATCGATTTTTTCATTAATGCTCAAGATAAAGTAAAAGCGGATGGTATTCAAAATAACGTTGTGTGAGTAATAGGGGTGGCTATGGATCGATTTTGCATATTTTCAAACTAGTAAAGAGATACTATTAAAATTCTCTGAAGGGAATCGGTACAATAGTTAAAGAGATATTAAATTAGACTAAGAAATAAAATAACTATTTTTCGCTCAGAAAACTTATTGCTATTGCCCAATTTTTAACCCGATCCATATTATTCACATCAATAAATTTATAACAACTTATTCGACGGTAATTAATTGTGATTAAAGCAACACAAATTCCACGGAGAACCAAACAAAAACAACGTTGACGATCGAAAAACTCAAAAAAAGGATATACACTGCAAAAATTATGGCGGAATTGATAAAATAAATTACGCTAAAAGAACTTGACACATATTAAACAGAACTACGGAAATATTGCGAATATACGAGGACGACATCGTTATTGTTAACAAAAACATCCACACAAAACTTTCACTGATATTGGTGCGGCAGCTGGCCAAATTGGCCTTAAAATCAACTGAGATAAAACTAAGTACTCGTACATGGTGATGTCCAGAAAAAATTGGTTCTATACAAAACAATCATAGGACCAGAACTATACTACCGAGCAGAATCTTGGACGCTACTCGAAGAAGACAAAACCAAACTGAACATCTGTACTGGTAATGAAGAATAATACAAATTGAATTTCTTCACCTTAACGAATTTATTTTAATATATTTATTGGATTATTAAGTTTTATGTATTATCAGCTGATTATATATAGAATAAGGATTTATTTATAACGATTTTTAATTCATATAAGAACTTCAGTTAATACGAGTACGTAATGTACATGTATGTAGGGATAGGTGTATGCCGACAACTATCTCTTACAAATACCTATATCTATGAATGAACTTAAACTCTTCAAAAGCTTACAAAACTTACGCTTGAAAACATAATAAACGCAAATAATTTGCTGTGAATAATAAAATCGTTGGTTTGTTCGTTTTTGCTCTTGATTTAAATCAATATTACTAATACAACTTGAATGATTCGATGCATAAATTAAACTTAATGAAGACTAAATTTAATAAAAACCATTATTTAAACTAACCAATTGATATGTGTGCAATATGTTTGGTTGTTGTTGTACTGTACAATTACTAACGATAAAATACTTATACAATTAATTAACTTAATTGTGTGTGTAACGATTATAAATAGAATACAAACTAAAATAAATTTTTTACATAATATGAATTAATTTATATGTAAAAATTTTTATTCGAACTTGAAAGCTGATAGTGGTGCGTTAAGCCTTTTTGATTAAACGGTCTGAAAAACACCGGTAATCTATCAATAAGTCTCCATTTATGTGCCCTATAAGCCCACCTTTGAATTCTTGTGATTTTTTTACTTTAATATTTAGTATTTAAACGTTTTAACTAGTTCATACTCATTTCGTATTTTTTAATTACAGCGTTAATTAATTTTAATTACATCTAGCACTTAATTTTGTTAACACTATATGTAAGTTAATAAAAAATATAGTACACTAGAGTGCTTAACGGTACACATGATGTTTATATACAGTATTTTGACTCTTTGCTTGTTCAAAGATTTAAAAATCGAATATCCCCTGCAAGCGTTTAATAACTAGCTAACATATTATATTTATCATTTGTTAATGAAACACATGCAAATATAAATTTTCCGAAAAGTAAAGGCCGATTTACTCCGTCACCTTAGGGTCCAAGAGCTTTTACCACCGACCACTTTAGCAAACTTCGTTCAGCAGTTCATGTAGTTTGGTGACTCGGTAACCGCTGCCGCCACTGTGCCATTCTCTTTCCCCTCTTTCATCGCCTCAACTTCCTTGATCTGTTCCAAGTTTGCGCCGACATTCTGATAAACTTCAGCCTGCACTTCAATGCTGCCCACCTGTGGCACCGCAATTTGCTTCGGCTTAAATGAGGTGCACGGGGACGATGCCTTCGTCAGCTTGCCATAGATGATATTCGCGCGTTCGTTAATTTTGATGGGTTGCAGAGTGACGCCATTTTGGTATTGATGATTGCCACCGCTGTTGCTGCAAGCGGTACTGGCGTCATTTTCTTTGGCCTCTATAATTGTGTTCAGGTAGTTGTTGGGCTGTGACGTCGACAAGTTCTGACTGGTGTAGACGGGTATGTTAGAGGGGAACATCTGATAGTGTTCGCCATCGGTCGGACTTGTGGGTGTGTTTAGCCGTTGGAGTGATGATTTCGGTGAGGGGAAAACGAGCTGATGGCGCTCTTCACCGGGTGTTGAATTTGGTGTTAGTACGGGACGTGGTGGTGGCGGTACAAGATAGTTATCCATAAGCGCGGCGGGTGAAGCAAGACGACATCCGAAACGTCGCTCTTCGTGGTCAGAGTGTGTGCCAGAATCACCTAGTGATGTGCCGCTGCAATTGCTTCCAGTGCTGAGACGGCCCGAAGACGAAGATGAAGAAACACTTTGCAAGCTTAGCGAGCTAATGGGACGCTGTGAAGATTTAAAACTTGAACTGGTTGTGATGGAAGATTTCGTTTCGTCAAGCACGCTGTCAGTACATGACGCCTTCTCCGGTAAATGCGTTGTTGATTTGTGCCTTGAAAAAAGTTTCTTGATTTTCTCAAAGGGTGTCTCACGCTTCAACTGTGATCTCAAATTTTCCTGTATACGATCGTATTCCTTACGCAACTGATCGATTTGCTCTTGTTTCTCGCGGAAACTCTGTTGCACATCGTTGCGGTGTTTCCATTTTTCGACCAACAACTCCACATCGCGTATGCTGAGCACATTGTTCTTGAAGTCGTGCATAATTTCGGCCAATTCATCGTCGGCATTGGAACGTGTTGTTACACTAGACGCGTCTGAGGCGGTACGTTTCAACGTGCCATATGTGGGGTTTTGTCCACCGCGAGAGGAAGAGCTTAATGAACGGCTCAAGCTGAGACGGTTCTGTGGCAGCAATTCGTTTTCGACTGGTCGGTTCGAAGGCTGAAAGAGGTAATTGCCATCATCAGTATCTGCGTTGGTTGCGACTGTTGGTGTTTGTGTACTAGCTGGTTTGGGTGGCATTGGTATATTCGCTGGCTGAAGTACATAATCGTTACTGGCGGTTGTGCCGATGCAGTTTTCCAGCAACTGTGAACATTCATGACTGAACTTATCCGATTGGTAAGGCGAATCAGTGACATCAACAGATCTATTCTGCTCCTTTGATTGGTAGTAAGGTGGTTCACTTATACGTAATTCATTCGTTGTTACTTCGGGTGTAGTTACAACCTTCTCAAAATTCTTACAAACATCGGCGAAGGAGCCTTGTAAATTCTCATCCTCTATTTCTACGCTAATGTAATTTAAGTTCGATACGGCTAATGTCTCTGTATTTGGTTTGGCGTCGGGTGTATTCTCACGTTCAGAACCACTTGACATTTCCATATACTCGGCAGGTTGTAATTCCTGCGGTTCTTGTAGTGTGGGTTTTTGTGGTTTCGGTTGGTTCATTTTTGGGGACGCCGGCGTCGACCTTACAGCGTCAATAACGACCTTGTTGTTACTCTGGTTGTTAAGGTTGTGATTGCTGTTAGCCATTTTTCCATTTACCATTGCTTGATTATTGTTGTTGTGTCCAGTGGAACTACTTATACCCTTGAAGTAGTGATACATAGTGGTGAGTTCGTGAAACTCAGAAAAACTAACAATGTTCGTCGCTAGCTTGTGATGTCCCTCCTGTTCGGCCAGTTCGGCGGGTGTTTTGCCGATACAATTACGTATACCACATGCGGTATCACCGCCCGGGCATTCCATCAACTGAATACACAGACGGTTAAGACCCCAACGTGCTGAAAAATGTAAAAGTGTGGGATATTCTTCGGGACTTGATTCACGTATGGTTAGGAAGTGATGTTGCTTCTCATAGGCACCGTTGAGTAAATGAAAATTTGGCGGCATATTCTTCTGGAAGCACTGTAGCAAGTGCAGGTCGAGCGCATCGCGTTCTGCTGGTCCAATGCCTAGTGAGTGGCACATGAATTCGATGGGAGAGTCCTCGGTGCGCAACAACTGTTCGAGCTCGCGCATGCGACTTTCACATTTGATGGGGCGAGCGCCGAGACTTTTCTCATTTTTTTCAATACGTATCTCAACCATAGTTGAGATTTCCATACAGGACTCTACAAGGTAAAGGGAAGAAAATTAGTTGATGGTTGCAGAATAAGTTTTTTTACTCTCAGAATTATAATGTACGTTAGTTTATATAATTTAAATAAATAACTTTTCATTTACCTGGTATTGAGAACTGCACTGTGTATGGATTGCGGCACTTGAAATTTCTGATTTCAATTAGCTCACCAGATTTCTCCACCATTAGCTTGATAGTGTCATCTTTTTCTAGCGGTTCGGCTAGCATTGCCACGACTTTATTTTGTCCGATCTTCACTTTTTTTGGTAGTATAGTGAAACCCTCCGAGCAACTTGAGAAACTACGCGAAATGCTGCTGTTTTCGTGACACGGTGGTCGCTGACATAGTGCGCGACCTAAAATATCTGTAGCTATGCCGAGTATATTGCTGATCTGCGCTTGGTCATTGTCGCGTATGGTGCACCGACGCCATTTGTAGTAGCTTGGTAGTGCTGGAAGGAAATTCAGATAATACACATAAGTACATCTATGCTGGAGAATGCGTTTTAGGAATTAAACTAATATAATATCACTCGAATGAGAACTTTTAAGGAAATGTGTGTATAAATTCCTTGATTAAAGTTTTTAACTTAAAAGAAATTCTATTCAAGTACCCAAATTATTCAAGTCGTTAAAAAATTATTCAACCAGTAATTCTAATTTGTTTGAAATGCATAATTGGCTTCGTATGGCTGACGAAACTTTATACAAAGATAAAAGTAACAAACTCACATGCCTTTTGCAATATTTTGCCAAAAGTAAGAAATTGCTCATTTCAAATGAGCAATAATTTCGTTTTAAATTAGAGTATTGTTACTTTGTATACTAGTGTTTACTAGTGCAAATTTATAAAAAGAGAAATTCTATTTACCTATTCTATTGACTGTGCAGTAATTCATACACTTCATAGTCTTATAGGCCTCTTTAAGCGATGTTCTGTCACCTTCAAACCTGTCAGCTTACCTGTTTTTTGTATCTCCTTGACTTTATCCTCCGAAATATCCAAAAGGATACCCAATACTTTCTCCACACGTATAATGGCAGTTAACTGTGAGAGAAGAAATGAGTGTGAGAGCGCCAATAGCGCTGGACAGAGTATGACAATCTGTAAGGCGGTGTTTTGGTATTTGTGTGCGATCTCCTCACTGAAGGGACCATCTTCGATCTTGATGTGCAAAAAGCTGCAAAGAAACAAGTGGAAAATATATTTTTGTAAATAACCACATGTAACAAAAAGTGCTTTCTTCGCTCTTGGTTCAACTTACTTGAAAGGCTTGCGTCCACGCTGTTTTGTGATTTTGTCGAAATGATTCTTCAGGAAATTGGCGCGCAATATGGCGCGTTCACTATGCTTAGCAGTGATAATAAGTATGTCGTCCATATTGTAGGCGCCCGAACTGTTGGATGATGAGTTGCTTGCTGTGCCGCAGTTATCTGCAAAATGAAATGGAAATGGGAAGGAGAGGTTAATTGAGGCACCTATTAATGCACACACTTACACATAAGAGTATAATTATGTATATAGGAATATTTATAAAATACACTTATGCACTTCCATGCATATGCATACACATATGTACATACATTTGTTTGTGAGGTAATATGAATGTGTGTGTGGGTGTATAATATATATGTACATAGATTCCTACATAATTTAAAATTCGGAAAATATGCGTTTGCGCAAGTGTACCAGAAACGCGCAGAGTGCACGCTGATAAGCTATTCTCACTACTCCATACACACACACTCCAGGCCATAATTTATGAGCGTTGTTTACTTAGGATTTGTTATTGGCAATTTATAGGCAGACATTCGGTGGATATCGGTTGTAACTGCGCCTCTTTGTTATTTTTGCTATCATTTATTTGTTGTCCAAGTGACAGCTACAAGACAACAAATACGTCATGAATCCATTGATTGTTGACTGGTTGACAGCGAAGACCCCAAAGCATAAACACCGACGTTGTTCAATCGGCTGACAGAGCTGCAGAGATAAAGCAAATAGCGACAGACATAGAGGAATCGTTCTTATATCTTTCGCTCTGCGGCCGCTGTCAAAGGTTTTTAGGCGATCACTGTAATATTTTGTCATTCTTCATTTGATGCGGAAGAAATAGCGAGCACGTACACTTATGGTTTAATGCTAAGATCTTAATTTCCTGTTAACCTAGTTTTATTCCGTGCAATGGACAATTGCAATAACAAAGATTAAATGGAAAATTTATTGGCTATCAGTACTGAGTAGTTTGCCAGGTGCGGAAGATATTTTTTTACACTTATATGTATATACATATATACACAGATACATTCGCAGTTGCTCTAAAAACATAATATAAATGAAAGTCTTGTGCTTTTGTAGTGCAAGCTAATGGAATTTGCACTAAGACTCCATCGGTTGCAATTATTACATACTGTTGTTATTGCTGCAACGATTGCACTAGCATTTGTCCTCTGCAATATCATTGTTGCTTGTGCCATTTTGGTACCAACGCGTGTGTTTCATGTTTTTTTCTTCATGTTGCTGCCATTTACCAGGCGCTTACCCTCTTCAGTTTTCAGTCACGTCATGTCTTTGTGGCGTCATAATTTTCGAGACGTGTCTGTGCGGCTGCGAATTATATGTGGGGTTGTCCCCAAAAGAATTTTTCTCTTTTGTCTGCTACACACCGAGGCAACTAACGCAGTTAAACACATATCAGGCGAACACACATATATATACATATGTGTGTATATATGGACTATATAGACGCCAACATAATTGCACTGTATGTGAACGCATTATTTCGCTTTGCTATTTATATGCGCTTAGTATATTTTATGTGTTGTTGCCATAAAAATGTTATTTCGCTGATTTCTGCGTTAAGTAGGGGCGTTGAAAGGATTAGCTGCCAGAATTTGTGGACAGTTCCGAAGACGTTCATGCGCGTATACTCAAATTGATATAGATAAATAACAGAAAATAAGTAAAATACTGGAATTTATGCGTTGCAGCAATGTTGAGAAAAAAGGTTTTTGACAAATTTATAAATAGTTTAAAATGCGATATTTAATGGTTTTTGTAGAAAGTAGTTTATGTTCCGAAAATAATAATTACTGTAAATAATTGAATAAATATCTCAAATGGGAGACAACAGCAATTTTTAGCTGTATGGGAAGGTGATGCATGTGTGTTTGTTTAAAGCAAAATCGCAGTGTTTGAAGTTACATGCTTTATGAGAGATTCATGACTAAAGCATACTAGGTAAAATAATACTTCGCAACTAGTCGGGCTTGTCCCATATATGTTATTATTAAGTAATTTCAGTTGACTTTATTGATTTTTAATAAAACAAATAAAAATAAAAAATAATTTTTTTTTCTAATAATAATCTGTATTAAAAAGTTGACTATTTAAAAGAAAAAAATAGCGTTTTAATATTCAATAACATTTCAATTCTTATTATGAAGAAACCTTTAAAGTTGAGAAATAATTAAAAACAAATTTAACAAGTAAGGAAGGGCTAAGTTCGGATGTAACCGAACATTTTATACTCTCGAAAAGTCAAACCTTATTAATGGCGTTTTGTGGGCGTGGCATTATCCGATTACACCCATCTGCAACCAAGAAACATGTCTACCAAATTTCATAAAGATATCTCAATTTTTACTCAAGTTAGAGCTTGGACGGACGGACGGACAGAAAGTCACCCGGATTTCAACTCGTCTCTTCATCCTTATCATTTATATATATATAACCCTATATCTAACTCGATTAGTTTTAGGTGATACAAACAACAAAAACCAACTATTATACTTTGTAGCAACAGGTTGCGAGAGTATAAAAAGTTAGTAAATTTTAGTTTATATAATATACAAAGGCCTATCAACTTGATTTTGAGTTAAAAAAAAAAAACAAGTAAGGAAGGGCTAAGTTCGGATGTAACCGAACATTTTATACTCTCGCAAAGCCAAATAGTATACTCGTTTGAGATTTCTTTCTACTAATCGAGTTAGATATAGGGTTATGTATATATAAATGATCACGATTAAGAGACGAGTTGAAATCCGGGTGACTGTCTGTCCGTCTGACCGTGCAAGCTGTAACTTGAGTCAAAATTTAAATATCTTCATGAAACTTACACATTGTACACTTGTTTCTTGGTACCGTAAGACGGTTGGTATTGCAGATGGACGTAATCGGACCACTGCCACGCCCACAAAACGCCACTAATCAAAAACAAATAAATTGCCATAACTAAGCTCCACAATAAGATACAAAACTGTTGTTTGGTACAAAGGATCACAGTAGGGAGGGGCATCTGCATTAAAGAATTTTTTTTTTTAAAGTGGGCGTGGTCCCGCCCCTAATAAGTTTAATGTGCATATCTCCTAAACCGCTAAAGCTATAATAACCAAATTCACTGGGAGCAAATGTTTTTAGCAGCTCTATTGACGGTGAAATCGGGTGACAAGCCCGCCCACTCCCCATATAACGTTACTGTTAAAAAATACTAAGACGCCAGAGACATTAAATTTTATTTTTGGGATGGTATGAGATGACTTAATAGGAACCGCGTTCAAACTTTGTCAGTGGGCGTGGTACCGCCCACTTTTAGGTGAAAACTCATATCTTGGGATCTGCTTAACCGATTTCAACCAAATTCGGTGCATAACGTTTTTTTCATATTTCTATGTTATAGTGCGAAAATGGACTACAACCATGCCTCTTTCCCATATAACACCATTTTCAATTCCATCTGATTCTTTCGCTTTCTACTATGCATATCAAGCAACAATGATTATATCGACATAAAACTTTGCGTGAATACTACGTTTAAAGTATGCCACCTTGTGACCAAAAATTGTCTAAATCGAACCAAAACTGTTTAAGCCCCTAAGTACTAAATATGTGGACCCCAGTGCCTATAGTTGACCTTCTACCGAAAATATCAGTCAATTCACAAATAAATCTCAAACGAGTATACCATTTGACTTTGCGAGAGTATAAAATGTTCGGTTACATCCGAACTTAGCCCTTCCTTACTAGTTTCTATTGTTTCCTTTTTTTTTTAAATAATTTTATTTCACCTTTTACTCTTTTGTACATTCGTTGAAGCACTCCTGCTGCCTCCCTCGGTCATTGCTTATCAGAAGAGCATTTTATTGTACAAAAATAAAACAAACATCGAAAGCATTATTTCAACATAATTTTGGTCTCATTCTAATCATTCGGAACACTACTAAGCTCTTGTGATCACAAATTTTAAATCCTTTTATAAGTGCTTTTAGGTTTTAGTGCGGCACACAGACTATAAATTCAGTCACGTTTCGAGCATTTACATAAATGAAATTAAATAAACACGATAAACATGCTACACTTTTTTCTTATTTTAGAGCAAGGTGGAGAGGGGTGACTCCAAGCGGCGGTGGATGCTCACATAAATATTAATATCACTGTTTGTTTTTGTATTGCGCTTTATTGTTTTTGGTCTTGTTGATGGGAAATTTGTTGTATTTTGTTAATAACAAAGTTTTTAAACTGCTGCTGCGTTTTTTTTTTGGCTTCCCTACCGCTTGAATCCAGCGTGTTGCGCGATTTTATATCCCGAGCGTGCGTTTGCTTTGTCATAACTCGAATTTTTGTCCCGTTGAAAAATGTTTTCGAAATCGTTTGGCTGTCGAAATTTGCCGGCTTTTGGTACCCAAACAAGCGTTGTGTTTCGCGGCGAGATGACAAATGCTGAGAGCTGTCTGTGTGCGCCAAAGATGGTATCGCCGCTGGGAGAAAGAGCTGTTGACGCTGTGCTGCCTCCGCTTTGCAATGACAACGACGTCTACGCCGATGACAAGAAATACAACAATAACAACAACAACAACAAAAAAAACATCTGTTCAGCAATCACACTATGGCGTTGATGTGAGTCGCAAGACACAGTAGCTAGTAGCAGCAGCATCCGGCGGTGAAGATATGCAAAAATGCTGCCGCTCTTTACGCAGGCATATAAATAAAAATACGACTAAATTCCCTTTTTAATAGCGCTCATAAACATTCGAATGCGAGTTTTTCGCTTTTTGCGGCTCTGAGTTTTTGAAATTGCCGCTGCTAAGTAGATGGCAGCAAGGCTGACACATGCAATATGGCATAGGTATATAAGTGCATACATGTGCATAAAACTACTCGGCGCGGTCGATGTTACACACCCACAATACGCTTGCAAAGCAGCTGCAAATATCTTTTATTGAGTTTATTTTTTTTAAAGGAAGAACAAAACAACTTTCGTCACAACGGCAGCAACATTAAGCAGAAAAAAGCAGTCAATACATTTGAACAGAGCAAACGGAGTTGCCAACCTTGAGTTAAGAATCGTTAGTGCGCAGCGCTTGGGACGCGCTATTTGCTAGATGATAGTTAAATGGATTTGTGGAATTGATTCATCTAATCATTTGTTTGTATC